CCCTATCCTGCCAATGCCCTTCAGCACTGTTTTTCTACAGTCTGACTGGCATTTTGGAAGGGACAGTTCTTGTGCAGGACTGTCCTGCACTGTAAGTTGCTGGTCGTCCCTGGTACGTTCATTTTCCCAGGGAGTAACAGTGACCACTGTGTGCCCACTTCTGCCCAAGAAGTTTTGGAGCTGCCAGCATCTCAGAGTTTGATTAAGTGTCCCGCCATCTACAGCACATAATCTCAGTTGGGTCATTAACATCCACCTCTCCATTTGTAAAGAGGAAATAGAGAACTACCTTGTTATGTGACTGTGAGGATTAAATGAATCAAAGTTCCTAAGGATGCCATGTTTACCCCACTACCTCACTTAGAAATTAACACCTAGTCTGTTCTACATGGCCACAACTTAACTTTAATAGCCCTGAAATCCTTTTAGAGGATTCCTTATAGAGTGAAGCTTCACTAAGTACATTTGTGGTAATGTAACTGCTTAACTTCTCATTGCATGTTTAAAACATGTCTAAATCAAGCAAAGTAGGACTCTGCAACTACACTTGTAAAGAACCAGACAATTTTGAGCAGGGCTTCTTCTATGAGTTCCTCTCCTCCCATCTCACACCCACCTGAAAACATAGTTGCGGCTCTGGGCAAGGCACTGCTTTCCAACTTCTCTGTGTCTTTGCTCCCAGTGAAGGTCTCTCTCCAACAGCCCCGGATATACTTACTGCTCAGCAGGTTCAAAGAAACATAACCCACGCCAGCATCAGCATCTCAAGTCTTTGTGCTTGAGATCACTGATTTGTGTCTGGAAGCCAAATCTATGCCACCTATTTCACTGAACATCAGGTATACTCACACTCAAACAGCACCTGGGGTTGCTTTAACAGAGTCCGGTACTAAGTAGATTTCAATGTCTGTTTGGTGAAAGCATGGATCAATCAATGCATGCATGAGCATGTGGCTAAATGAGCAAGCAAAGAATAAATTCAAGTTGTTAGGAGACCCATTTTCACTTAACCCTCAGCGCAGCACTGGCATAAATGATCTCAGAGCAAGCGCTTTAATCTCTATGCCTAAATTTCCTCCTCTGTAAAATTAGATAATTAGATTTCACTATAAGATCTCTTAGGTTTTCTTCTAGCTCTAACAACTAAGCCTGGGGACTTTATAGCTAAGAATGGAAGACTTTATATCTTTTTTGAGAAGTTTTAGTTAAAACAATCAAGGGGGTAAAGGTTTTTTAGAAATCATGTATTATTGGTCCCTCTATGGCAGGCAAAAAGGGGGGATGAAAGGCTACAGACAATACAAAAGCTGCAGATACTGAAGACAACACTGAGTTAACTGAGCACTGTGGAGTTATTATGGGTTTCTTTCAGGGATTCACAGTCTACCCAATCTTCAAAGAAGGGCCACAGGGGCCCCTCCCTGGTAGCCCAATGGGTTAAGACACAGTAGTATGAAGCTAGCCATAGCCACATCACGAGAGTCTGACCCCAAGATCCACAGACAGGGAGGTGGCCCACAAGGCACAGCAGACCTTTCTTGACTCACCTGCTGCTCCCCTCAGTAGTGTACTTTGTTGATCTGCCTGTTCTGCTCCCCACTCTCCCCACCCCAGCACCTCTGGCCTGTACCCCAGTTTTGAATGTATAAATAAAACAAAAAACAAAAAAAACCTCAGGGCCTCTGCTGACTGCTCCATCTCACCCAAAGCTCCCTTTTCCAGTCTAGGAAGGCCCATACACTCTCTCCCAGGCTCCAAATCTAACTCAATCCCTTTCCCTGCCATCTGCTTAAGGCTCCCACATGCATATTTTATGATCTCTGGCACATTTCCTCCTTATCTAACATCCTGCAATGCATCCCTCTGCCACCTATATTAATTCCATCTCTGTTAAGAATGTTCCTGAAAGAGGCATGTGTCCTTGAACTGTACTTTATACTACTGGTTTTACCTTTCCTATCTTATCTCCCCACCTGGTCCCTGAAATCCTGGAGACCACACCCTCTGTTCTCCCATAGGACCAAGGGTGGAGCTAGGCAAGGAACAGATATTTAGAAAATACTTGTTGAAAGAACAAAAATAATGAATGAATGGATTAACTGAAAGATTTCAATGTCTTAAGTGTAAAAACTCATATTAATGTATACTTAAATAAGATAACTAAAACCTTCCCTGTTAGGTATACAATCAGAATAAATTAAATTTTAAAAGGTACAGCTACGAATATACTTTATTTCTATTTCTTCAAATAAAAAATGTCCTTCACTACAATATGAATGATAGCAACATTATCAGCTGCATAAGAAATCTAATTTTCAAGTATTCATAGCATAAAATGTCACTGTTTTAATTCTCTAATAAAGAAAAAGTGTTTATCTGGATCTGGGGAGGAGAAAAGGGAAAATGACCCTTGGTGTTAATTACTCCAACTATAACTGATATGTATTGAAGCTGAAGCGTCCAGGGAAATCAGAACAAGACAGGAGCATGCTTCTTAGACTATTTACTTAACTTTACTGTTGATTTGAGCAGAAGATCATATTGGAATTCCTTGGAACTTACTTAAAGTCTAATTCTAGTCACATCCCTTCCTTGGGATTGATCAATTCTAGCTAAAATCAAAGTGACTTGGGGATGAAGTCATTTTTCTCCATTACTTGCTGGTCACTGCAGATCATTGCATAAAATAGTGTTAATGGTCAATGCAAAATGCTGGAGGGAAAGTATGACTATGACATCAGAGAGTAATACAGCTTAATGCTACACACCTCACTAGTCTCCCCCGACCAATAGTTAACCTATATACAATTTCACTATCTCTTAGAAATCATTATTCTTGCAAATAAGCATAAATTTAGCATACTACATTTACAGGAAAACTATGTACTGAAACAGGAGAGAGTATTGGCAATTAGAGAAATTCCATGAGAATGGTCTAAAAATTAGGTCTTAAACAGAAGACTATTAAAACCGATCACTGGTGTTTATGGGTTGTCCATAAGGTAATAAATAACATTATGTTTTCCAGCTCACTCAAACCATGTCAGAACACATGCTACCAATGAGGGCACTGAGGGTACCTGAAATCACAATAAAACACAAAGGAAAAGAACACATTTACCTGGAGGTTCACATATATGCATATACATACACACATAAATATCTATGGGTGTGTGTATGTATATGTTGAAGTAAAAGAAACTGTTAGGAGAATATATCCATATTTATCCAACTGATAAAGTCAAAACATTTTAAAATTGCAATTGGATTCTAAGTTATTCATTATAGTCTTTACACTCCAGAAGAAAGGTGCAGGCAAGGCTCTTATCCACGTTTACATCACTAGTCAGAGCTCACATGAAAACTTGGGTCTCATGCTCTAACTTCATGTACAGAACATATACTATTAAATTTAAAAATTAAAAAGGCACATATCAGACAGGGAGCAAACAGCTGTCAATGAATCTGAGTACCAGAGATGCAAGGTTCCAGGACTATCTTGAGATACTACCTACTTTCAGTATAAATCATGTACTTACCTCATATTTTGACTTTGACTAGATTAACATCGTTTAGGCTTCTTAGTCTCTAAAGCACCCCTCTGGAATCAATAAAATGCTATTGGAATAATTATTGAAGCAAGCTGGTGGTGAAACCAAAAGCTTTATAGCATTCTTAGGATGCTGTCAGTGAAAAGATGAGTCTCTACATATGAAATATAGCTGCAGTGGGAAAATCTTTACAAGGCAGGCATGACTAAGCAACCGCAAATAACTATAAATGGCAAAAACTTACAAGTTTGAGAACAAGTGCATGTCTGCATATACAGATAAACTGAAGCTTCCTCATCTGTTATTCCTAATGCAAAAGGGGGTCTTTTCTTCACACTAATGTTGATTTCATTTTAAATAATCTTAATGGCTTATAAGGATTTACAAGCAATATTTTATTCCATCCCACCTGCCTGAGAAATAAAATTTGGGATACCCTGGTTAAGGTAGTTGATGGGGAACCTAACAGCTAGGCCAAACATTAAGGAAGCAATATTGCACTATTCGATGTATTTGATTGAATATCTCACGTAGTCTCTTAAATCTATAGTTTCACTCTGAGCTAAGGAATGTAAAACATATTGCTACATGACTTACTCAATTACACTACCACCTCTTTCCTTAAACTTTTGATAACTCTAGTTATTGAACTTCTCTTCTTCCTAGATTCTTCCTACAAAAATCAAGAACATCAACTAAACAAAACAGTTTAAAATAATTATCTATATCTATCTTTCTATGTAAAGGTGTGTGTGTATGTGTGTGTATGATGAAATTGACTATGCACTAGAGGGGAAAATAACCAAATACATATTTACCTAAAGATATGGAAATATTGATAACATCTTAAACAAAAAAAGAGTGACACTTACACAAAGATCACTGGCGGGACAGAACAAACCTGTTTCGCCGTTCTCTTGGCTCCAACATAAAGCTAAAGAAACGCACTTAGAGGTGGGGAAAAGAAGGGGGGGAGGAATTCCCACCTTAAACTTGTTTCAATCAAGAAACAAGTCTCGCAAATCAAGCAATCAAAGGAGCTCCAGTACATTAACAACCAGGCTGAACGTCCCAAAACGGGATGAACTGACACGAAAGGAAGAGGGAGCCCCAAAGCTCTCCCACCACCCTTTCCCCCAAATTACCGAGACACACAAATGGAGTTGGGGGGCTTATCCCAGACTCCATTTTCTCGTCCAGCTGTGTCCTTCTCAGGGTTCACAGGATGACCACGTAGGTGAGCCCCGGAGTCTCCCACCCACCCTAGCGCCCCAACCTTTTCATTGTTGTCCAACACTGCAAGCTCACCTGCCCCGCGCGGACTCCCGCAGTCAGATGCACTACGCTCGGGATCACGCAGGAGCTAGCTACCCGAGCCTCCCGCCTGACCCGCGTCGCCCACCCCCGCAGACCCGAACCCGGTCGACTGCCGGACCCCGCAGTGCTCACCGCCACGAAGCCCGAGGAGGAGGCGACGAACACGCGGACGACCATCCTCTCACCAAGACGGGACAGACCGTCTGTCCCGCCGGCTCCGGGCAGGCTCTGAATGCAGTGGCAGAACTCGGTTTACTGACGCCGCCGCAGCCGCTGAGCGAAACGCTCCCGTCGGGGAAGATCGTCGGGATCTGCCTCCCTCCCGCCGCGTCCGTAGATGAAAGCCCAGCGTCTACCCGCCGCCAGCCGCGGGAGAGGAGGGGCGAGGGAGGGAGCCGGCTGCGGGGCCTGATGGGAGTTGTAGTTTCTCTGTCGCCCTGGTGTGGCTGGTGGACTGAGCTCTCTTCAGCCCTCTCCTTACTGCGCGTCAGTGCACGTGCGCAGGTGAGCAGTGACGCGGTGTGGGCAAGGATCCTGGCTAGCGTGGGTGGGAGAGGGGGTGAGGGGAGAGTGAGAAAACTGGGCGCGACGGCTGGGTTCAAAGTCCAGGCGTGAGTTTTGTGTTGTGATTGATAAATTTGGAGCTTACCCACCCTGAAACTCCAGTGGACACGGCCATGCCGTGGCGACCCTTCACCTCAGGCGCCCAGGGCTAGCCCAGCGACCCGCGGCGAGCGAGATGGGTGGGCGGGGCGCGGGAGGCGGGGGCGGTGGGGGCTGTGGGGTCGGTGCGGCTCTGTTTTCCTAGAGACTCTGGAGGATAGTGAAAGGTGATTCTTTCACGTAAATGAGAGGATTTCTCTTTCTGTGGACGCTAAAAACGAGAAACTCAGATGAGAGCACAGCCGATATTTTATTTTTCTCAGTTAAACTGTAATTGTAGTAGAAAAAAATAAATACCGGGCGAAATTAGAATCCTTCAATCAGCATTGGGAATCAAGACCCCACCCGCCACACCCCTACCCTACACAATGGCGTTGCCTCTGTGCACCGAATGTTTACAGTTGAGCCAAATCTGTGCCAATTTCAGACCCGCTGCACACATTCCAACACAGTCTCCCAGGAGGTTTCTGTTAAAATAAAAGCTTTTATGTACTTGCTAATAGTTTGGGAGTCGTTCTTTAAAAGTGTTTTGTGTTTCACAAAAGCGCAAGCCTCTCACAGTTGTATGGAATTGAACTAGTTTTCCCTGCACTACTGTATTTGCTTTGTGCCTCTCAGCAGGGAAGTCTAGCGGAGTTCTGGGAACTTTGTTAATTCATAGTTTGAGAAAGAAAAAAATAGATGTGGTTTCTGGCTTTTGATAAGTTAATAATTGGAGAAAGAAAAAATTAGATGTGGTTTTTGGCTCTTGGTAAATTACTTGCACGAATACTAATCGTTTTTGCATCAGCTTTTTAGAGAGTTTTTGACTATCTCAAGTTTACCACCTTACCTATTATCTAAGTCATTGCTGTAATACTCCCTGTTGATTTAGTAAAAAGATTCAATCTTAATGAACATTTTCATAATATTTGACAATTTTAAATGTTTTTTTTTTCAGTTAACATCTCTGCAAATGTATTTTAATTTGACTACAAAAAATGTAGGGATGTGTGTTTATAAAATTTAAAATAACTTTCTTAGATATTATATTTCTGTAACTGTCTTTGTAAACACCTTCAACATCTTCTTAGGTTGGAAATATTCAATTATGAAGACATGGAACTGAAATAGGAACTCATAGCCTATTTTATGAAATGTTCCAGAGTGGATGAAAAGTTGAACAAGTTATTTCTGTACCCAGCAGAGCATCTATTGTCTGCAAGAGAGAAAGACAGGTACAAAAATAGCAACTGAACTGGCCATACTGTACCAAAAAGAGCATTGTGTGGTATAAAGAAAGAGTGAGAAAGGGTGGGTTTTTAGAAGAGACCTTAAATTTCTTTTGGCAGGTGAAGATGCTAGGTTAGAATATGCAGTGAGTGTGAGACAGCAAGGAGTTGGTTTTGTTTTAGAGAGGAACATGAAGGTACTAATAGACAATGTTGAAACTGTAAATTGGATTGAATGCAGCAGAGGTCTCTCAATAGGTTATCTGCCCAGCGCTTCTTCTTTTCTATAATCTGCTCTACTTTGATCCAGGAGGTTGATAATGCCCCAAAGTCTGTCATACAGCATGACCCAACCCCACGATGCCAGCTATTTGGTTAGGAGTAACACCTGACTCAAGCAGGGACTGGGAAAGACAAAGAAAGTATATATATATACTTCTGTGTTATTAAATGTCATGTTATAGTGGTGGACCAAATAGTCACTATGACTTTGAAAAAGGGGGGGAAATGAAATGTTGATATTTGCAACAATTAGAAAATATGAAAATACTTGGGATTTCCATTAGTTACAAAGTTACAAATATTGTTGCTGTTATAGTGGTTTGTTGTCTACATTCACAGCTGAAGGTATTTATAAATATCTGTTCAAGTTTAGTGCAAATATAAAAAAAATGTTTTTTTCTCAAGGTCATCAGTCCTCTAAATCATATTCAGAAATCCCATATTAGGGGTGAATGGGGAATTCAAGAACCTCGGGTTAAGAAGCCATGGTATCTGACTATATTCAGTTTATACAAGCCTATAATTTGCTTAAGATAAAAAGTATAAAATAAGTGTAGAAGGAGCCATGATGAATCCATTGGGGAACTCCTACATTTAAGAATTAGAATGATAACAGGAAATTAAAGAGTGAAAGAACAGGGCCCTTTCTGGTGGTGCAACAGGTTAAAGTGCAGCACTACGAAGTGAGCTAGCTGCAGTGCAGCAACTTCAGCGTGAGTTGGATGGCCAGGGAGGTGACCCACAAGGTGCAGAAACCTCTCCTGGGAGAGCCCGCTGCTCTTTTCAGCAGTGTACTAAGTTAATCTGCCTGTTCTGCTCCCCACCCTGCTTCTGGTGAATCCTCTCACTGCCACAGTTCCTCTGGCCTATACCCCAGTTCTATATGCATAAATAAGTAATTTTTTTTTTTAAATGAGAGTGAAAGGGCCCTCCCTGGTGGCACAGCGGGTTAAAGCACAGCACTGAGGAGCTAAAGCCACTTCCCCATGAGTTCGATCCCTGCCTGCCCTGGAGGTGACCACGTGGTGTGGCAGACCTCTCCTGACCCACCCGCTGCTGCCTCAGCAGTGTACTTCGTCGATCTGCCTGTTCTGCTCCCCACTCTGTCTCTGGTGAAGCCTCTCACCGCCCCTGAGCCTCTAGCCTGTACCCCAGTTCTGTATGCATAAATAAATAAATCTTAAAAAAAAATGAGAGTGAAAGAGCAACCATAAAAGTGCAAAATCAGAGTCCAAGAAAAGTTGGAAGTTTCAGGAAGTAGAAGAGAGTATGAATGTTACTCCACCTGGAAGTTAAGAAAATTATAACAAAAATAGAGGTTTTGAATATGTTGGTTAGGCAATTTGAGTTCTCATTCTAGTTTTGTCATATAATACCTTGTTGAATTTCATCACCTCTCTAATCATCACCTCATGTCAATAACATGAATATAAGTAATGGCTCGTACTCAAGATTGATTATACTTCTACCCATAGTCCTATTAAAGCACATTTTCAGTCTACCTAGTTAGAGCTATTTGAAAAACATCTGTGTATTTCCCTGAGTGTGACCTTTTAGAGCTTGAAAGTAATGTATGATATATAGACTGTGCTTGAAAATACATGCAGGTCTTCTTTCAGGAAAAAGGAAAAACTAGATCAATGAGCAGTAGGAATACAAAGGAAGATGCTACAAGGAGGTGTGGAGGGGGGGGATGAGAAACTGAGCAAGTAGAAGCAGTGAGGAAACTGAAAGGAAGAGTGAAAGGAAATCAGTCTGTGACAAGAAAAGGGAGCCACTGTAAAGTGAAAAGTAGACACTAGCAAGGAGACTTGCAGTTGTCTTATTTCCAACCTCTGATTCTATGAATCCAAGTTGCTCACAGTTCTGGCCCTGAGGTTGCTACTTAATAATACCCACCTTTTATCTTGTAAAGTTTAAATAAGTCTTTTCCTGGCACCTATCCAATTCTGATGAAAACACTCATAAATCATTATCCTATATGGGTATTCCAGGGAACATAATGTCACATACCAACTAGAAAATAAAGCCCCTAAACTGGGATTTTTGTCTGAAGAATTCTGAATTTTTTCAATGTTGATGCAACATTTGGTTGAGGCAACTAAACTAAAACCATCTATAAATCCTACAGATATGGTTCTCCAAGTTTCTCCTTCCAAAGCTAATAAAGTTTAGAGCCCAATGTTTGGTGCCCAATAAATCCACAAGAAGCTCTAAGTGTTATTATCATGATGATCTATTATCACTGCTGACCTTTGTGAGAAAGCACTTGCTGCAGGAGGAAGGATCCTGAAGATGGATTATAGTGGCTTCTGGACTGAGAGCCAATGAGGCTGTGGAGGCAACGACATAGTCTGTTCTCAATGGAAGTTGAGAATTGTTCAGGAGGGAAGAGCAAAAGCAGAAGCTTGAAGGGGAACGTGGGAACATAAACATTCTTCATTAAGGTTTATCTACAGGTTAAATAAAGAACACTCAAACAGTCTGGCATCTCAGCTGTCCAAATTCTATTTTTAGAATAGAATTGAATCTGATTGATAATTCTTTTCTGTCAGGGCTGCCCTGTTCTTAACACCCTTAACCTGATCCTATCTAGTGCCCCATAGATATAACTTTCGAAGAATGTTAGTCATCACATCACAAACACCGTGATTGCTCTTCTGAAAGCTTACTTGACACATTTGACAGTTAGTAGGTGACAGATTTGTGGGAAGGGAGGTTATAAGCCAAAAGGGAGGGATAAGTGAGAGTGATTAAGAAACAGCTTCGGAGCAAGACCTGGATTAATGTCACAGCTGTTTGACCTTCTTTAGGCATTTTCCATAACTTGCTGATATCTCACCTTCCTTGTTGTTGGGGGGCTTAATGGAGATGATATACGTAAAGTACTTTTTCACATGCTATTACTAATCTTGTAAGGTAAATCAGGAATATCCTTCATCTGCTTAAGGCAGGTTAATAATCTCAATATTTCTGTTTCAGTTGTGTGATTTTAGCTTTCCAAGTAACAGGGATCTAGTTTGTATAACCCTCTGTATAGCATCAAGTTCAGTTAAAGTACTTATCTTTTTTATGTTGATGAAGTTTATAAGCTATACTTAAGATAAAAGGAGTTTTAGTAAAATGAAGCAGTAAGAAGTCAAGTAATGCAGGCTGAATTTCACAAGAGAATACTTCCACTGCTTTTTTGTTGCTACATCAGA